AAAAAGTGTGCGATTTGACGTGGAATGGCCCATATATAAACAAGCAAAGGAGCTGCGATTGAGTGGCGGCGGCGCAGCAGGGCTTCGCCGCCCCTTGCCGCTGTCCCCTTCTCTTTTGCTGCTGTCCCCCTCACTGTCCCCTTCTTCAACTTTCCCGCAGAAACGCAATCAACCAGTCAGTGCGCTGGGGCCGTCAAAGTGTGTGTGCCGAAACTCCGTCCTCAAAATTCAATATCAGAAATTAAGAAAAGCCTTTATTTGAACATTCTCAAAGAGGACAAAAAAAAAGGAGTATTTACAAGAAATGTGAACACTCTATCAGACGTCAAAAAGTGGCTTTAATAGCAGTGTAGGCTGATCTAATAAAACATGGAAAAGATGTATGCAAATGCATCCATGCGTAAAACAAATGTAGAAGGAAACGGAAAATTTGTCAGCAAGACAGACTCAAGCATTAAACCGATAATTGGACAGTTCCTTCCCCATATATCCCAGCTCTGAATTAATATGGTCAAGGTCCAAACTGCCAACACTACTGGAAGAACGACCGCTGAAAAGAAATATTAATTAAAAAAAACAGTATACTTGTCATCCGTAACACAGCAAAATCAATAATAAATCATGTAGCTCATTCACTGTACTACTTCAGCTACTGGCGGGGTAGATGCTAAATACCAAATCTAACCAGAAAGCTATGAAGTTGCTACGGCCACGGGCGGCCATCTGGTCCGCTATAATAAGAGGTGCAGGAAGCGAACAAGGCTGGTTCACAATTTGCATGTTGAAGGTCAGCGCGTAAACCATGCCTTGTACTTCATCAGATGACATGCTTGAATTGTCATACAGGACATTGTACCGGGGAGTCTTTGCCGTTCCCTGAAACCATGAAACTCAAAATCAAGCTAACAAAACTGATTACCGAAACCTGTATGGCCGCATGGGAGTTCAAATAAAACTCGTTGTACACAGGGTTGACAACTTCCGTGTCCACAACTGTCCCTGGTGGAATGTTTTGATCCACGGCACGACGACTAGGATCAATTTTCTGAAAATGGATAAACTGCTGTGTAAGAATATTACCTTAGAGTCTTGTTCCGCTCATCAAATTTTCTGCTAAAAAGAACAATACGTATGACGAATTCCTACTTACGCTGCGATATATGCGAACTTGATGCCTTTTGGTGGCTAAGACAAATGTGATATAAGGCTTGTACTTTGCACCGCCAACACGGGCACAAGCATCCTTCACATCCTGCACTTCCTTTTCAATGGCCTGTTCAAAAAATTATGGTGAAGAGGAAAATCAAATAGAATTATACAATCTTAAGTGACAAGAACTCACATATTTATACTGCCCCTCAGAAACACCGTCGCGTAAGATCACCAAATGCACTGGCACTCTTCTGTTTTTCTTGGCTAGTTGCAAGGACTCACTGACGATGTCACAAAAAGTTTTATCCCCTGGACATAACTAAAACTAGGTCTGTTAAAAAAGCTGCGCTTATTCAGCATAATAACACGAAATTTTCCTGGTGCTTAAAGAGCCGTCAATAATGTCTGAAGCAAACATGTGCAAAAAGTTCAAAAGTAACCTCCTCATTAATAGTCCAACAAAACCGATACCCTCCAGTAAAATCCAGCGGATGAGCATGACAATTCATGGCATACTAGAAATAAAAGAAAAGTTTAATAGAAAAGTACATGGATCTGACGAAAAATAACTAGAAAAAATTATCGTTAAAAGTCGAGGTGTACGCCAACCCCAATTACAGAAGGTGACTTTGAAGACTTATCCTTCGAAGGCACACCGGTAAACGTAAGATCCATCCCAATAATTAAACGATCTTTTCGCCCGATCCATTTCTGCGCCCTAAAAATTTTAAATTGATGAGAAGTCCGAAAAACCAGGAAAAAAAGAGCAAACTAACTCTTCCGATTCGAGATGAAGGTCAAAATTAATGCCGCCTAGTTTCAAGTTAGTCTTATGGACGATATTGTCTAGTGTTTGAGGTCTTTTCCTTATGACTGCCGCATTCTTTGTCATAAGATCCTGGGTCAGTATCTGGTACTGACTTTCCAAAAACTTGATCTTTTCTAAAAACAATTAAATGGTAAAAATTTTTCTTCTAAACATACAAAAGACTTGAAAAGCCTCTTTTATTGCTGAGGCTTAAGCATTACTCACCATGGTACTTCAGGTTCTCTGAAGTAACGAAGTGAATAAATCTTGCACTCATCTTTTCGGCGTTTTTGAAAGCAATATCTACGTCTTGTTCTCTGGCTCTCGGGATATGAATCACCTCCATCGGTTTTCTGATCGAAATTCCGCGGCTTCGGCATCGTTCCAGAAACAAGGCAGTATAGTTTCTGTAACAAAAGCGGGACCAATCTACTATGAAAATGACGGCTGATAAATCTTTTAACGTTAAAAGAAAGAGAATAAGAAACGCACTCTAAGTCATTTCTACTGAATCTGTCACTCGCACTGACTAAGGCAATTATGATCCACCTTTCACAAACAGATGGCAGTAGATAAGCCGTATTCTGCGTAATAGTCCAAGCACCCTAACCAAAAAATACATTTAAAAGAAAAGGTAAAAAATTAGCCTAAACCCCAGTTGTTATAAAGGGTCTATAACCTACCGACTCCTTCATTTCAACTCTTCCGTCACCTCCATAAACTATTGTAGGTTTTTGCAGAACACGAGCTTCTAGCTGTAAAGAGCGCGCAAAATCAAAAAAGAAAAACATCAGCAAATTTCCTGTTAACGCAACAGATAAGCTTAGAAAATCACAGAGCAAGACATACATTTCTGCCAGGAATTATAATTAAAATTTAGTCTTTACTTTACCTCATAAGTCCGCTCCGCTAAATGAACCTGAAACTCTCTGCACCACCGATTTTTCCTACCGCCTTGATCGAGATTCAATGCGCTAACCATATCCAACATCTGCCGTTTCCTCATACTTGGGACAGTGGCACAGGCCTACAAGTACAGTATACCTGCGGAAGAAGCGACTGCGCTTTTAGATTAACCAAACATACTACCAACCCTAATCATCTGTTGAACTTGTCTTGACGACTGTTGAGAAAGATTGACGCGTTGGTTTTCACAGACAAAAAGTAGCTCCATAGGGTAATAGTGGGTTCCTCTTGAAGTTTTCTCCACAACCAGTGGGAGCTTCCCAAATTTTAAAGCAATTTTATATTTATCCATGAAATAGCGAGCCATACCAATCATTTTGCCGTCTTTCTCAAGCCTGGAATGTTAGAACCCAGAACTGCTGCAAAGGGCTAAACTTAAAAGGAATTTCTTACTTGAAACTGTCAACAGACTGTTCTGAGATTCCAGAGATAATAAAGGTCCGTCTTTTGCCGTAGTTGCAACGTACATATAGACCTACAAATAAAACCAATTAGATCACTGTAAGCAATGATGAATAACTACAATTAACCATAAGAATTTCTACCTTTCAACATTTTTGACAACATCTTCACATGGCGATCATCAAGCCGCACTCCAACTGGGCAGTTACAAATATCTGATACTTTTTCTGCGATCGACTGCAATTCTATGTGAAAGGCTGCCTTTTTCACTGAAAAATGCTAAATTCTGCACACACCATAACAAACAGTTCGCGAATAACAAAAGTTCCAAAAACCCAGTTTTGCAGTGGCCCTGTCAGTAAAAACGAGCCGTATTCAACCCACCATCCACACTAAATGACAGTGTCGGGCGGTCCTGTGACCCTTCCACAATCTTTACTCCTTTGATCGCTCCGACTCCGATGTATTTACCATCCGGCAATCCAGGGGTTTCCTGAGCGCTAAAGCCAAAATCTAAAGGATTGTACAAGTAATTTTCTCCAGATCCGTAGCAAACAAAGCGACCCCTGAAAACAAACCCTTTAACGCGGCAGAAGTTTTTAGGAAAATGTGTAAAGAACTAAACTTACTCAGTAAAAAATGCATCTTGTGATAGCAGCAGCTCATAAAACTGCTGTAAGCTTCGGCTGACAAGGTCAGGATTCAAATTAAATCCAGATTTTAGGTCCATAGATGACAATTGGAACTCCTGGGCGCACTGCTTGACCTTTAAAGCTAGATGAAAGTAACAAACCAAGATACATTGCTAATATTATAGTTTCATCTCAACAATACTCACTTTAACGATAACTCTAAGGCAGTCTTCTGAAAACAAGTCTTTAGGCAGACTTCTTGCAACAACAGTAAACGATTTGACCTGCAAATTTACCAATTGAGTTTAAAGAAAGTGCTTTATACGAATAAGCAAATGAGCAAACGGAACGAACTTCTCCATCGGCCAATTTCAATTTATCCAAAGAGTAGAGAGTTGACGCTCGATCATATACAAATGCTCCTATATCACCGAAGAAATTCGCCTCCTGATGCATGACCATTAGGTAAACAGCAACACACTTATTCTTCCTTTCGATTGATACATAACTGTAACAAGCAGTCAAAAGCTGAAACTATTTTGACTTTCCATAAAGTCGTTACCTCACATAAAAATAATTTAAAAGCGTACTCATTCCGTGTTTGCTTGGTTACTTCCTTAAACACGGGTTCATCCTGTTTTTTTGAAGGATATTCCTCCAAGACCCGGAAATCATAACGAAAGAATGGGACATCTTCCAGCGGTTTAATGCCAAAAACATTTGTCTGCACTCGAATCCTACCCTCACACCGCTGTCCAGGAGACGTTTTGCCAGGCAATAACACTCGTGAGCGAAGCTGAAAATTTAAAGACTAAAATAAAAAAAGAAATTGCCACTACTCTAATTAGACACGTCACAAATAAGTTACGGTAGGCAAACAGCTTACCTTCAATTCGCCAACTTGTTTTTCGACGCATTCAACATCTGTAATACAGATAAATCATTTCACCTCAGAGCCCAGTTTCAGAAACTGGACACCATCTTCTTCCAAAAAATAGAACTTTTTTTGCTCTAGACAGTAAATTATTTTAGAAAACAGAAGACCACTTACCAATATGCGACATACTCCTGAAAAGAAAGTTTCAATTAATCACAATATTATGAGTAAAATAACAAAAGATAAACCAAGTGCATAACGTTTCCTGATAGCACAATAATTACTTAACATGAGAAAAATTATAGCACCACAGTCAATCTGCAGCAGCAATCATTTGCAAGGATCACAATGGCAAGCTACTTCTCATCTAAGCTTTTGAATTCTCGGTTCTGACGACCTTATTAGACCAGCCAAAGTAAATGTCATTCCCTATACTGACGCTACACCTACATCCCGGAAGCAGTCATGAGAAAAGACATTAACCACTTGACGCAAGTAAGTTTTTCGCACCAGTCAAAGTGGCACAGCAGATAACAAAAAAGATTTATAAAGCAAATTCTAGAATTATCAACTGTTGAAGCCAGTAACGAGTCGAGAATTGCAGCAGTTTAACCAAATAGTTGAACAAGAAAAAGGAGAATTAAGTGTCACAAAACGAAAAATGCTCTGAGCTTTCGTAAAACTTTTTCGTATAATTCTCCTCACTATAAGACGATCGCTCCTGAAAGTGCCTACAGCACACGTTCATAAGCTCCCCAACAGTTTGCACGCCACATTCTCAACTTCTGGACAGAAAGGACGTTCTTATAAAACAAAAGAAAAAAAAAGCAAGAAAGATGAAAAAGCAAAATGAAAAAGAGATAAGGACTTCTTTAAAAGTTGATCACTACAATTCCATGCACCACGCAATATTCCTGCTCAAACCAAATGATGGCAGCTAAAAAGCTTCTACTTATCTTCGCCCTTATACACAGTCAAGAAATTAATAATTACAGAAGAAAAAAGGAGTTATGAAGAAAAATAGTAAAGCAGAAAGAAGAATGCGAAAATTCAACTGCAGAGCAGATGAAATAAAAACTGAAGTTGTACAGTAACTACGTACTACATAAATCCCCCTCATACAGTACCAGAACGATGCAGAAGTTGGTACTTCTGATGGCTACCGTTAAACAAAATCGATCGCTTTCACATCTTTACCGTGTTCCTTCTAAGCAGAGTGTGGAACAGTAAAGCAAAACTGATGTGAAAAATATACGAAAATGAACAGCTAACTTAGTCATACTCCAAATGTAGTGGCCAACCAAAGTGCAGAATTAAAAAACTTCAAAGAAATCAAGATTTAGTTAGCTTTACTGACTGCTAAACCCAGCAAAAAGGCAGAATAAAGTATCAGTGGTTCAGTTATTTGAGTGTATCTACGAAAAAACTTGGACCTTTTATAAACGTTGTCTTAGAAAAAAAATTAGTTGCTTTTTTTTAGATTCAAATTAAAATGTCGGAAGTCTTGTTCTCAAGAAAAAAGTGGTAAACTAGAAGTGTCAAGTTCACAGTGCTAGAACTGCTAAGGATCTTGCAATTACTAGAAAAGTTCTCCGGCATCTACTAATTCCTTTGCAATAAATTGTCTTACTTGGGCACTTGCGGTCTTTTGAAACTTTTCGGTGGTCCTTCATTTATACTCAGTGATTAATTAAAAGTGTATTAAAAAGTCAGCTTTTTTTGGCAGTGGCTCACACGTTTAAAATAACACCTTGTCGTCTTGTAAAAAAATCACTGTTATTACAGTCGTCATAGGACTTACAAAATATGTATCTAAACTGATGGACACATAATTAATTTCTCGCACCTAATTGTGAGATTTTTAGCGGTAGCAGAAGTGGTCTTCTAGAGATCATTGAAAGTTTCCTAAGGAATTAGATGGAAAGAAGCGTCTGCTCAACAGCTTTTAATAAAAAACGTTGAGAACTGCCTGTCAAAAATTTTTGTTTTTCGTTTCATCAGCTTTTCAAAATTTTGCGTCGCCAGTTTATTTTAAACTGTAAAACATAACGATGTGTTCTCAAGATTCTGTTCCAGATGAAAAAGCAGTTACTTAAAAATCTTAACATTTAGATTTTATGAAGAAGGCTGGTCTATGCAAATCAAGTTTCAAATAAAACTTGTCCGTACCTGTCTTTACAGCCCTAATTCAAAAACACCTTTTTCTTTATGAAAATATAATCATACCATTTAGTATTCGTTCAGATTTGAAACTGTAAATTCAAAGTTTTCCGCGAAAGACGGTAAACACCTAGGGAGGTTTGAGCAGTTGTATGTCATTCTCAATTTACGTCGGATTTGTCGGCTGCGCTCAGAATACCTTTGAAAAATCATCTGAGTTTTAGGATGTAACAAACTTCAGCAGGAAACTAGAAACCAACGTGATGTTGAAATTTTTTACGGAGCTGCACTCTTTGTTCACTGTTAGAATTTCGGCAAACTTCTGGACAATTAGTGGTGATATACACTTAAGGATGAGTACAGTGGCTGCTGTTATCTCAGTTAAGCTTTAAAGGACTTTTTAGCTGAAGATGATTTCAGGAAGTCTTAAGTTTACATCACACCTAAAACTTGAGTTTTTCTAGATAGTTGTTTACTTCTTGATGTTTTTCACATGATGCGCAGAAGAGTCTCGAAGACCAATAAAACTAGTTAGATTATGATCTTTAGGTCTGACAGGTGTTCTAAAATTCATCACAAAGCAAAATATGAATTCTTCTCTTCACTATTCTTGTGCGTAGTAATTGTAAACGATTGTGATTTGCGGTGGATGATGAATACTAGTTTGCTGAATTTTTTGCTAACTGTATGAGGAGATGTATTGATTGAGAAAGTTGCTTGATACTAAATGCTTATTATCATTTTTTACTCGAACACTTGTCTGCAATGTCTCACTGGCTAAATTTAACAACAAATTTTCAGCAAGTGAACAGTGGGATTGAAGTGTCATTTGGCTTTCTCAGTGACCACCGCGAGTCTTGTTTCTATTTTTCAGACTATAAGGCTCGGCTGCACCAGTAATACTCGCGTTGGTTCCTCAGTTTTTTTTTTCTAGTTGTAATCGTTTCCGCAATCTGGATCATAGACCCGACTTTTTTCAGTGTGCTTTCCAAGTGTTAGTGGCTCATTTATAGAGACAGAAACCTCTCCCAATTACTTTTTACTACCTCTTTTGCTCTTTGCATGTTCTGCACATTATCTTCCAAAGTGTCCACAAAACCCTCAAATCTTCCCCAAAATTATTTTTTTTATAAGTATATCGAACGGTTTTTTCCTCGACCAAAAAACCTCAAAATTAAGAAGAAAAAGCCAACTTTAGGATTTATCTTTTGTAGTCTTTCTATTTTTAATTCTTCACTGCCATGAGCAAATTAAGTGAAATAGTGAGCCTTCTCTTGATACAAATTTCAGACTTTGGTGATCCAACATAAGTTTACCAGAGCAACAAATTTGGCAAAACGGTTTCATTGAATTAAACTAAAGTGGGGACAAAGTTTCTTTTACGGCGTTCCACTACGAGCTTTGCGCGTAATCGGATTTTTTTTAGAAAATTCTCATGATTCAAAAACTAAAAAAAGTTGCGCCTTAGGATGTTTCCCGGTGGGAGCGCTAAAAAATTATTGGACGTGCTTGTATTTCTTCTAGGTCGTTTGTTTCTTTCTTTTTTGCGCTCTATATTTTAAAAAAGAAATTGGTATCTTGACAATTTAGTAAGAGTATGCTGAAATAGAGACACACTCTACCAAAATGAATACAGCTTACTTTCCCGATTCCATTATTTTCGGTGTACATAATTACTTGAAAGAACAACTAGCATGATATTTGGATGTAATAGGAATTCTTATCTTTATCTTTCATCACTGACTTCGATGTTCCGTTTAATTTGTGACAGAAGCCAAACTGCAGTTTTAAGATTAGCTGGTGCAATCATATTTTTTTATTGCCGCTTTAAGCAGACCATTTGACAGTAAATGGAGGCAAACCACTGTTATTTTGTCACTAAGAAGTTTTTTTTGCATCATTTATGTATTTGTGCATTTCTCAGGTTACTAAAACAAAGTCAGCAAAGTAGAGACAAATGTGGATTACAGCGAAATAGTTTTAAGGGAACGAAAAAATTAATGTTATTTTTAATCGGAACGGTAATTCAGTATAGGAAGCAAGTACAAGACTTATTCATTTGTCTCTTAAAAAGTCGAATTCTTGCATTTTTACGAACAGTAAGCGCTGCATTTTATTTCCGGTACTTACCTTACGTACAGCCATATCCAGTGATTTGATGAGAATAATTAAACAGTAGAATTCATTTACAGAAATGGAGAAAGTACTGACCTTGCTAAAACAGCACAACATTAAACACCGATATATAAAATTCAGTTAACAGCTTTTAACAATAAAAACAAAAAATTAGAAGAATTAAGAACCCCCTTAAACAAGTTGATAAGGTAAAACTATTTTTGAAGAAAACTGACACTGTACATTGTTTATGAACCAGAGCTAGATCACGCACATTGGTGCAAAGTTAAGGACATAATCAACTAAATTTCTCAAACGGAAATGACAGCAATCTGATCCTACATCATTAATATAACATAAGATATATAACGTAAGATACTTACTGATGAAGTTCAATCAACAATTTTTGAGACTCAAAGACAAAAAAATTACAAAAACATCTGTTTTTGACCTTAATTAAAATCCTTTTTTTGATAACAGAAGGAAAGCAATCAACGCTGGTTATGAATCATAATTAAGGAGCGCAGTTATACAGTATAATAAAAAAGCCAATTCATTACCCTGAAAACTAAAAATTTTGTCACAGCCACTAGCATCTTTATCATCAGAACCATTAGACAAAAGTTGAGAAAACGGCTAGAACTTTAAAAAGTCTAAAAACCTTAGCTAAGGAAATTGTCAGAGAATTTACCACTTTTCTTGTGTGGGAGAAAAATATGCGAGATTGGAGCCTGATATCATGATATCAGCGGCGCTAGACAACACGATAACGACACTTTTGTAAAGTTTGATGTCTTCAGTTTTGCAATGTTGACGATTGTAAATAAGCGATCTTCTACATCTTAGCGGATTAATGGTTCTATAAGCTTCCAATAATATTGCCGGCCGTGTATGATCTAACTATTCTTAAAA